CAAGTAGAAAGAAAATGATGGCCAAAAAAAAAAAAGTGATGGCCACATATGTACAGGTGTGCTTGACACAATGGATGGGTGGATGGATTGTGATAAGAGCTGTAAGAGCCCCCAATAAAGTGACTTTTTAAAAAAGACGCTGTTGGAAATTACCAGAATAGTTACTGGTCTTAGTTTTAGGACATGCCTACCATTCATTTGTATCAAGAACTTGAAATCTTGAGCAAACTAAACGTGGAAGTGCCATCTGCTGCTGATTTCGACTCTCCTCTAGAGTGGCACTGACAGCTGATTGCCGATTGATGGATTGATCGATTTGTTTTCACGCTGAACAATTAGTCAGTGATTCAGCCGGCTCCCTCTTCAATGAGGAGGTCAGGTGCATCGAAGCAAGCCTTGTATTACTGTGGTCTTGGTCAGAAGATGTGGGTAGAGAAGGAAGGGGCCAGATTCTTGTAATTGCTCCCTTCCCCGTAGTCTGACACCTCTGAAATGTGAGCCCACCGTTTGCCAAGTTATCTGTGGTGGTGCCTGTAGGTGAAGCCCTCCTGCCTTAGAAGCCTGCCTTAGGTGCCTGCCCTAGAAGTCCTCCTGCCCCCAAAAGAAGACTGGTGCCCCATCCCCTGGAGACCATCTTCTCCCACAAGAGCCCCATTGTCCACTCTGGCTCTGAACCGCTGGGAGCCCTGCCTTCTTTACCTCATCCGCTGGCCAGTAGGGACAGCCCTCATGTCCTGGATCAGGAGAGAAGTAAGAGCCCCCGTGTGTCCAGGAAACACTCCCACCGCAGCCCTTGTGTTGAGCGAGGAGCTCGCTTGGCTAAGGAGGCCACCCTGAGCGCTGTCTGACAAAGACACCCACGTGCCTCCTGCATCAGACAATCCAGGTGCCCCTGACCACACAGGTGGAATGGAGTGAGCGTCCGTGCTGACAGGTGGCCTGGGCAGGACGCAACAGGGAAAAGAGAGGGGGTGAGTTGTCTCCACCTGCGCAGAAGCAGGCCTTAGTCGCTGCTGATGTTCTTTGGCCAGCAGGACAGTCTGTGTAGGACATGTCCAGGAGTCCTACCTCCCGCTGTCACCGTGCCCTGCATGGGCCAGGTGCAGAAGGAATGCCACGACAGCCTCTCCTCCTCCCTTTGCCCTGGGGCTGACCCTTCATGCTCCAGCCAGCCCCTCCTCAGCCCGCCGCAAGGACCTAGCCAGGTGGGACAGGGTTGGCTGAAGGATGATGCCCGGGCAGCCCTGACGGGGCTTGTGCTTGCCTTTTGAAGGAGGACGACAGACACCTGAAGGTGTCCTGTGATCTGCTGGGCGTGGAGACAGGCAAACTGTCTCAATGGCTCTGCCATCGCAAGATCATCACGACCTCTGAGACGGTGGTGAAGCCCATGACCAGGTCCCAGGCTGTCAATGCCAGGGACGCGCTGGCCAAAAAGATCTACGCCCAGCTCTTTGACTTCCTCGTGGAGAA